TGAAATATTCCTAACTATATCAATGTTATTCTAATGTTTAGTAAACAAAAATGTAATGCCACAGCATGAGTTGAAGATAAACATGTATGCAAAAACAGACCACTATAATATCTAAAAATAGACAAATAAATAAATACAATTATTAAGCAAAGCAAATAACTCAATACAAAACTATTAAAACTTGTAAATGTTCGAGAAGGAATAGGAAGAGGGATATGTTTACTTAATTCTACCCTTCTTAACTCTAAATTGATTATAAATCACAGTCCATAACAATAAATATTAATCCACAACAATAATCTTCAAGTTAACTGCATAATTAACTAACTTTTACTTGGAAAAACCTCTCAAGCAGACAACAGATAGCAATAAGCAGTTTTGATCATGCAGGGCTTTAAAGCTGTGGTCACACTAGAGTTTGTGCTTGTGAAATTCTGTTGTGCGGTGCTGCGAAGAAGGGTGGGATTAAACAAGATTATTAGACCTTTAAAAAAAGCGAGCGATAGGTCCATAATTTAAATTTCTGTACACAGAGTTTATGTTTTGATCCGCGATTGGTCTCACGCAGTCAAGTGATGCGATTTCGCAGGTCAGAGTCAACCAAGCTTGAACTTTGCAACTGTTTGCAAAATCTGTCTCATGAGCTTGTGTTTCCGGTCTGACGTATGAGCTTGCGTATGAATGGAAGTCTATGGGGAGAAAATTGCAGTGTGACCACAGCTTAAGAAAGCATTAGAGAGTCAAACGAACCTCAGGTGACGTCTCCGAGATTTTCAGCATCTTTTTAATGCATGTTTTAGCTTTGAGGTTCATCTGGAGGATCCAGTAGATCAGAGCTGCGTAATAAAGCGCTCTTTCACCGGCTGTAGATCCAGAGCGCTTCAGCTCAGAGTTCAGCTCATTCACAGCATCTTCATCTCATGTGGACAAAAAACAAAACAAACAAACAAAAGCAGAAGATCCCTGAATCCCTCACTCATTTCATTCATCAGCCACTCAGAGCAGTGTGTGTACATTAAAAGAAATATCCATAAATTAGCACTTTTCTGCATTTTGTGATTCATGTTTTTATTTTTCTCTGTTTATTTCTGCTTTTAAGTTGCATTATGGGATGTTGACCTTTCGTCCAGCAACTTTTGACCTTAAAGTTTTTTTAAAAAGTGACTTTTCTACCTATGTGTAATAGTGTGCAGTGCTGTATTGTCTGGGTTGGTGTTGTATATTACAGGGAAATCTTGTTATAAACTGCAGCACATTTACTGTTATTTTACACACTTTATTTCTTTATTATTTCTTATACATTATACTATCTCAAATTACTGAAATGTCACTTTGTTAAGCATTAGAGTTGAATTTTCAACATCAGAAGTCAACAGAGCAGAGTTCAACATCCCATAATGCAATTCACAACCACAAAAACACAACACACACTAAATACAGAAACTGTTCATTAACTGATATTTTTGCAGTGTACAAAGCAGAAGATACACATCTTTATCTTTAATATAAGACACACATCTTTATCTTCTCTTCTCCATCTACACGACATCTCTAGGATCAGTCATCAAGAAGCATGGATTCTCCTACCATTGCTATGCTGATGATACCCAGCTATACCTCTCTTTTCACCCTGATGATCCCTCAGTTCCGGCTTGCATCTCAGCCTGCCTGTTGGACATTTCACACTGGATGAGAGATCATCATCTTCAGCTTAACCTCGCGAAAACAGAAATGCTTGAAGTTTCTGCCAACCCGACTCTACATCATAACTTTTCAATCTAGATGGATGGGGCAACCATTACTGCATCCAAAATGGTGAAAAGCCTTGGAGTAACGATTGATGACCAACTAAACTTCTCTGACCACATCTCTAGAACTGCTTGATCGTGCAGATTTGCACTCTATAACATCAGAAAGATCCGACCCTTCCTATCTGAACATGCAGCTCAACTCCTTGTTCAAGCTCTTGTTCTCTCCAGACTGGATTATTGCAACTCTCTACTAGCCGGGCTTCCAGCTAACTCTATCAAACCTCTTCAGCTGCTCCAGAACGCAGCAGCACGAGTGGTCTTTAATGAACCTAAACGAGCACATGTCACTCCGCTGCTCATCCGTTTGCACTGGCTGCCAGTTGCTGCTCGCATCAAATTCAAAGCTCTGATGTTTGCTTACAAAGCGACTTCTGGCTTTGCTCCTTCTTATCTGCTCTCACTTCTGCAGATGTATGTGTCCTCCAGAAACTTGCGTTCTGTGAATGAACGTCGCCTCGTGGCTCCATCCCAAAGAGGGAAGAAATCACTTTCCCGAACTCTCACATTCAATCTGCCCAGTTGGTGGAATGAACTCCCTAACTGCATCAGAACGGCAGAGTCACTCGCTGTCTTCAAGAAACGACTAAAAACTCAAGTATTTAGTCTCCACTTCACTTCCTAATCTGCAAAAAAATAAAAAATAAAAAAAATAATAATAATAATTACCAATGTTTTGCTTCTTACACTTTACATACCTGAAACTCGTCTACAGCACTTATTCATTGTTGCTCTTAAAGTTGTGTAAATTGCTTCCTTATCCTCATTTGTAAGTCGCTTTGGATAAAAGCGTCTGCTAAATGACTAAATGTAAATGTCAATATAGAGAAGACATTGATGGAATCGTTCTACAAGTCTTGCATTGCGTCTGTGTTAACGTCTGTAGTAACATTAATAGTTACTTTTAGTAGGGAAAACCCCCGACAGAGGAAAGACACTTTATTGTTTCTGTTTGAATCTTCGTTTTGGAATAGTGACCTCTTTTTATATCCAGAGTTTTTTAATGTCCTCCTCAGGTTCCTGGTATACATTACAAAAATATCAGTCAAATAACCGGTTCCGTACTTCAGAATTTATCTGTCCTTTATTTAATTTGATTTATTAATATTTTTACGTGTTTATGAAATCTACTGTATATTTCAGCTGTTTTCCAGATTCTCAATGCATCCTAAACATCCACGAGACATTTTAATAAACTCAGACGTACCGACAGTCTCACAGTGTTTGTGTGCGTAAATGAGAGCTACTGTTGAACACAGAGACAGATGAGGATGATCCTTCAGCAGGATGAGCTCTTGTAGAGCCTCCTGTGAGTGACCTGCAACACAGCAGCATTTTGAACATCAGTGGATATACGAGTCAAAGATTAACAAGAGCTTTCAGGAATTAATACTTGACTAAAGACCTGAAGCAGTCTTGTTTTGTGAGATCTGCGTTGTTTGTATGATTTTGAATCCAAGTCTCATCTTCTTACCTCACTACAATACTTGGTCTCTTTTATTAATTTACATTTAAAATACATAGTTTTATCATCATCTTTATCTCCTCTTTTAGCTTCACAGTGGTCAACTTTTTTTGCGTTCGTTTGTGCTATACAAGTAAATAAATTCAATAAAATTGTAATAGAGCTTGTTTCTTTTTTTTTTTTCATTATGTAAACGTGACCCTGGAGGACAAAACCAATATTATGTTGCACAGGCATATTTTTGCAAAAACACATTGCATTGGTCAAAAGTATAGATTTTTCTTTTATATCATAAATCATTGAAATAATAAATAAAGATCTTGTTCCTTGAAGATTTTTTAACAATCTTCTTACTGTAAATATATAAAAATATTTTTTTGATTAGTAATGCACATTAATTTAGACAAATTTAAAGATAGTTTTTCTCAATATAATAATAATAATAATAATAATATTGCAGATTCCAAACATAGTTGTAGAGTAATACACTGCAAAAAGTTTTTTTTTTAACTTAAAACTTCTTATTTTTACTCTTATTAAATAATCTTATTAAATTTTAATCTTATTAAATATTTTTTTTGCACTGCGTAGTCATATTTCTATACATCTACTTATATCCAATATTTCCCTATCATAACAAATCATACGTCAATTGAAAGCTTATTTATTCAGCTTGTTGTGTAATGGGCGTCACAGCAAGAAGGTCGCTGGTTTGATCCTCGGCTCAGTTGGCATTTCTGTGTGGAGTTTGCATGTTCTCGCTGCGTTCGCGTGGGTTTCCCCCACAGTCCAAAGACATGCGGTACAGGTGAATTGGGTAGGCTAAATTGTGCGTGTGTGTGTGTAATGTTTCCCAGAGATGGGTTGCGGCTAGAAGGGCATCTGCTGCGTAAAAACTTGCTGGATAAGTTGGTGGTTCATTCCGCTGTGGCGACCCCAGATTAATAAAGGGACTAAGCCGACAAGAAAATGAATGGATGAATATCGTGTAATGTATAAATCTCAATTTTAAATGACAAACTTTATGGTCCAGGGTCACACATATTATTTTACAGTCATAATAATCATGAATAATGTCCTAATATAAATATAACACACACTTTAGCTTACCTTCCATCAGAGTTGCAAAAGCTTTGAAGAAACGGAGCACAGGATCATTATTGTACACTTTTAAACTCCTCGCAGCTGTATTGATGGCATGTCTGTAGTATCTCTCCCTCATATAATATATAATCAACGGCTGTGAAGAACAAACATGACATATTATCACTTTAAGCGCACAATGGGAATAAAATACGAGTCAAAACAAATTCAGAACTTACCAAACAAGTTTTATCCTCCTCTGACATATGTAAGCCCGACAAAATAAGCGGTTTTAAGGCATTTATCGCGTCAGAAAATCAGCAGTGATTTACAACAACGGAAAACTGCGGTTGCTACTCAACATTAGACACCTGTACAGGAATACTAATCAATCTTATGCACGCTTCGTGTGTTATGAACTCCTAGCGATCTTTTAATTCTACCATCGACTGCTTATGTCTGTTTAAATAAACGAAAACACGCATATACGAATCACTTCAATGTTTTATTAGTGTTAATTTGCACCACACACTATCATATCTCGTTTTTCTCCTTTTTGATGAAACGGTAAGTGTAAAAAGTAACATTAAAAACACTCAAATAGCTAAACAAACCGACCGAACGATTCCTACTATGGCGAAGGATTCGTGACGTCCAGCGTGATTGGCTAAAACAGCAGACTTTGAATGAATATTAATGAGACGCTTTAAGAAAGTTGCTGAGTAGCATGCTCGCGCGTTGATTAATATTCATGAGTACCTTCGCCATAGTATTCGTGTGTATTCAGTTCAGTATGGGTCTCATTCAGAGCGTGTTTGCTACACAGGGCGGATATCATGTACATGGGGTGAGTGTCACATTTAATGCGCACAAACACAGCGTTTTAATCGTTGCTGGATTTAATTAGACGTCTGGGATGATGAAGAGGTCGTTAATAGTGTTTGATATCTGAGGTAAAGGTTTGTCGGGTGTAAGTTACAGAAATTCTAGGGATGTGCGAGAGATTCCGGGATTTTGTTTTTATTTCAATTTTATTTTATTTTATTGCACTTTAAAACAACAAAATTGACCAAACTGCTAACAATAAAGGGTTAAACAAAGCATAGCACATACTTTAAAATACAAATAAATTAAATTAAATACAATTTAATTTATAGTCTTTCTTCTACTGAAATATATTGTCATAAATATTGTATTATTTCATTCATTTATTTTCCTTCGACTTACTCGCTTTATTCATCAGGGGTCGACAGCGGAATGAAGCACTAACTATTCCAGCATATGTTTTACACAGTGGATGCCCTTCCAGCTGCAACCCAGTACTGGGAAACACCCCCCCCCCCCACACACACACACACACACACACACACACACACACTCATACACTACAGCCAATTTTAGTAGTTCATCAATTATTTAGTTATTTAATTTTGAAACAATCTGAATGAATGAAATGTATTAATTAAAAAAGATAATTAAATTAATTAAAAAAATTATAGTTAAAAATTCTTATTTCATTTAATATTTTTATGTAATTTCTTAGAATATTTTTTAAAAATCTTTTGATTAGAGTGAATTGACTTAAAAGTTTTAAAACAAAAAAATATATATGTAACTTGAATAGATAATCATTTTTATATGAACAAAAAAGGTTTGTTAATAGGTTTACATAACAAAATTCAGGCCCAATAATGTGTGGGATATTGGAAAAAGGTGTTACCCAAGTGTTTTTTAAAAAGTATAAAGCAAAATAAAATTTACAAAATCAATATTGATTGCTCAAAAATTAAATGAGTTACAATCAAGTCTCATAAAAAAAAAAAGCTGAGGGAAGGTTGAAATTATTGCAAAGTTTTGTTCCTTTACTAAAAAAATCTGCTTAGTAAATGCATTTATTTGGTTTTTTCATATCTAAACAGACCCAAATGCATTATGATCCATTAATCATCCTTGTGGTTGTTCTAAATCGGTTTCAGATAATAGCATAGATGTGAATATGACTGGGGCAATGGTTAGCACTGTGGCCTCACAGCAAGACGGTTGCTGGTTCGAATCCGAGCCGAGTTCTGGTTCTGTGTGGAGTTTGCATGTTCTCCCCGCACTCCGGTTTCCCCCACAGTCCAAACACATGAGCTACAGGGGAATAGAGTAACTAAATTGGCTGTAGTGTATGAGTGTGTGTGTTTTCCAGTACTGGCTCGCAGCTGGAAGTGTATCTACTGTGTAAAGCATATGCTGGAATAGTTGGCGGTTCATTCCGCTGTGGTGACCCCTGATGAATAAAGGGACTAAGCCGAAGGAAAATGAATGGATGAATGTGACTGCTGAATTTGCTTGTTTATTGTTGGTGAAAATAATCTATAATTTAATTCCCAGGTTCAGGAGAATTCTCCAGCAGAGAGAGCCGGTCTGGAGCCCTTCTTTGACTTCATTCTGTCAATTGGACACACCAGACTGGTGAGAAATAAACTCCTTAATCTTTAACCTAGTGAAGCCTTTAAATGTCACTTGAAGCTGAATACCAGTGTCTTAAAAATATCTAGTCTGATATTATGTGCTGTCATCATGATTCAGACCTTACCTGTACATACAGGTATACTAATATAACATGTTTTTATTAATATAGTGTGTGCTTGTGCTCAGAATAAAGAGAGCAGCACGCTGAAGGAGCTCCTGAAGGCTAATGTGGAGAAGCCGGTGAAGCTGCAGGTTTACAGCAGTAAAGTGATGAGGGTTCGAGAGCTGGAGCTGGTTCCCAGTAACCTGTGGGGCGGTCAGGGGCTCCTGGGGGCCAGTGTTCGCTTCTGCAGCTTCACCGGGGCCGATCAATACGTCTGGCACGTGCTGGTGAGTAAATACTAAATACTATAATATATTATTAATATACTAATACAGTCAGAATTATTAGCCCTAATGTACATTTTGTCCCCAACTACTGTTTAACAGAGAGAAGAACACTTTTCTAATCATAATAGTTTTAATGACTCATTTTAAAAGACAGTAGTGTTCAGCTTAAATTGACATTTAAAGGCTTAACTTAATTAGGCAAGTCATTGTATAACAGTGGTTTATTCTGTAGACAATCCAAAACAAATATTGCTGAAGGGGGCTAATAATATTGACCTTAAAATGCTTTAAAACCATTAAAAACAGCTTTTTTCTAGCTTTTATTCTATATATATATATATATATATATATATATATATATACACACATACACACATATATATATATATATATATATATATATATACACACACACACACACACACGTTTGTGTATGTAGTGTATGTGTTTATGTATTGTTTTCTGAATGTGCTTTACCTGACTCTTCTTTCAGGATGTGGAAGTGAATTCTCCGGCTGAACTGGCGGGACTGAAGCCTTATTCGGACTATATCATTGGTGCCGATCAGGTTCTACAGGAAGTAAGATCTGATTATTACATATTCAAAGCTGATTTGGTACAACATCAGACACCAGAGTGTGGGTCATCAATTCAATTCATTTTATATTTATATTTTTCGTACAAAATGAAACTGAAGACTTCATACAGTAAATGAAAAGGTGTGCTTTAAGGCTATTGCTGTGCGCATATATATATATATATATATATATATATATATATATATAGTTGAAGTCAGAATTATTAGCCCCCTTTGAATTTTTGTTTTTTAATATTTCACATATTATATTTAACAGAGCAAGGAAATGTTCACAGTATGTTTGATAATGTTTTTCCTTCTGGAGAAAGTCTTATTTGATTTATTTGGGCTAGAATAAAAGCAGTTCTTAATTTTTTAAACACCATTTTAAGGACAAAATTATTAGCCCCTTTAAGCTAACTTTTTTTTCCGATAATCTACAGAACAAACCATCATTATACAATAACTTGCCTAATTACCCTAACCTGCCTAGTTACCCTAATTACCCTAGTGAAGCCTTTAAATGTCACTTTAAGCTGTATAGAAGTGTCCTGAAGAATATCTAGTAAAATATTATTTACTGTCGTCATGGCAAAGATAAAACAATTCAGTTATTAGAGATGAGTTATTAACACTATTATGTTTAGAAATGTGTTGAAGAAATCTGCTCTCTGTTGAAAAGAAATTGGGGAAAAAAATAAACATGGGTTCTAATAATTTAGGGGGGCTAATAATTCTGACTTCAACTGTATATATATATATATATATGCATGCCAAAAGAGTGCTCCATATTCACAGCTGAAGCCCACGCACTACTTTTATCATTGGAGTTTATAGAAAATACACAACAAAAGAAAACATTATTTTTACAGACTCTAAGAGTGATCACCCCTTGATTGAAAATATTTTAACTAAAGTTCACCACCTACAAAACAAATTTTACCATATAATTTTTTGCTGGATACCAGGACATGTTGGACTTTCAGGGAATGAACGAGCGGATGCAGCTGCTAAAGCTGCTCTAAAACAAGCTGTGAACAAATGTCAAACTTCTCCATCAGAGATGAGACCTTTAATTAACAATTACATTTTAAACAAGTGGCAAGAGGAGTGGGATACTCTGGAAAACAATAAATTACACAAAATCCAGCCTGAAATGACACACAGAGGTAAAAGACATTTTAAGAAACGAGCTGATCAAGTCATTTTTACCAGATGTCGTATTGGACATACAAGATTAACACATAACTTTAACTCAAAGGTGAAGACCCTACCCAATGTTTGCACTAAAACACCATGGACCGTAAAACACAACTGCTGGACTGCCCTGCTTTTAATGACTCCAGAAAGACTTTTTATGATGAAAACTCTCTTAAAGACATTTTTAACAAAGTGACACCTGAAAAAGTATTAGAATTTTTAACATGTATTAACCAGAAAAATCTTAATTAAACTGTATATTCAATTGTTTATTTTTTCACTGTTGATGTTTGTTAATTACTGAAATGCTCTTGCCATGAAAAAAGCCTTAGTAATAATGAATGAATGAATGAATATATAAATATAAATATATATATATATATAGGAATGTCAGAATTTTTCACCCCCCTTTGATTTGTTTTTCTTTTTTAAATATTTGCCAAATGATGTTGAACAGATTCAGGAATTTTTCCACAGTATTTCCTATAATATTTTTTCTTCTGGAGAAAGTCTTATGCGTTTTATTTCAGCTAGAATAAAAGCAGGTTTTATTTTTTTTATAAACCATTTTAAGGTCAATATTATTAGCCCGCTTAAGCAATATTAATTTTGGATTGTCTACAGAACAAACCATTATGTTTAGAAATGTGTTGAAAAAAATCTCTCAGTTAAACAGAAATTGGGAAAAAATATACAGGAGGACTAATTATTCTGACTTGCCAAAGCTAAATTTGTAAATCACTTTGGGCAATAACTAATTATAAAATGTAATGTTTTACATTTTACAGATATTTTAAAAGCAAATAAGTCACACAAATGAAAGAAATCAGGTGAAGGCTCATGCACACCAGGATGATTGTTGTGCACAATTTATTGCCTACATTTAATGCCTCATGATTAGAGCCAGACAGAATTTGCGGGTGTTTTTTGCTATTTCTGTGGAGAATTTAGTTAAAAATCTGCGGATTATGCAGAATGATTTTAGGAGTATCATAACTAAAACCTTAATATATGAAATAAAAAATAACACCTTTTTAACTTTTATTTAATGTTTAAATTGCAAATCCAAATAGATGCACTTTATTTGGTAAACAAAGCAAGTTTCTCATATAATATCTCTACTAAAAGACAGAAAATATTACTTTACACATTGTAAATAGTAAATAATTTAACATATGAAACATGTTTAACTATGTTTAACATTAAATTAAACATATAAACATTCTCATATTAGTCAATAATATTACTGAAATTAATTTAAAAACTGAATAAATCTAAATGTACACACATTTACACAAGTAAATAAACAAAATCTGCTAAAAATCAGCAGAATTCTGCGTGCACAGACTCTGTGTGGGCTTACTCATGACTAATTTAGATTAAAAACTGCTCATTATAATAAATACTAAACTTCATTTTTGGGTGACTAGTCTCTTTTGACTGTATTTGTGCAGTCGGAGGACTTTTTCTCGCTGATCGAGGCGTGTGAAGGTAAATCGCTGAAGCTTCTGGTCTACAACACACACACTGACCGCTGTCGAGAAGTGCTCATCACTCCCAATGCAGCCTGGGGTGGAAACGGCAGGTACGACATCCGCAAACACACTGTTTCAATTCAAACATGCGCATTAAACTTATGCAAAAACCTGGAATATTGCAGAAAAGATTTGGGAATAAAGCGGCATTTCCAACAAACACAAACAGTGTTGCAAAAGAACATTGTAGATGTTTTACAATGTGCCGGAAACGCTGCAAAGTCCATTAATACAAAGTTCCTAAAACACAAGTACAGTTGAAAGCAGAGGTTATCATACTCTGTATTAAAAGGCACATAACCATTTTAAGAAAGGTCAGATGTTAATGTGACTAAATTGTTTTTATTTTAGGTAAGTTAGAGTGATCACATGTGTTTCTGTTCTGCTAATTAGCAGAATAATGAGAGAGAGATTTATTGAGAAATTGTTATAACTCTTGTTGAAAGTCAAGTTTACACACAGTAAGATTATTCTGCCTCTGGAAAAGCTCAGATGATGATGTCAGGGTTTTGGAAGTTTCTGATTGGCTAATTGGCAACATTTGAGTTAATGTGAGGCACAACTGTAGAATAGTATTTAGGGAAAAGCTCAAACACACTGCCTCCTTGTGTGACAACATGGGAGAATTAACAAGCCAGAATCAATAACAAAGCCAGATTACAATGTGCTCAATCACACTGGGAAAAAGACTCATGTTTGGAGACATGTGCTGTGCTCTGATGGAGCTAAGATTGACCTGTTTGACCATAATGAGCAGTGTTAAATTTTGAGGACAAAGGGGAAAGCGCACAAGCCTAGGAACATCATCCCAACTGTGCAGTATGGGGGCGGCAGCATCATGTTGTGGGGCTGTTTTGCTGCAGGAGGGACTGGTCCACTTCACAGCATAGATGGCATCATGAAGAAAGAACATTATGTAGAAATACTGGAGCAACATCTCAAGACATCAGCCAGGACATTACAACTGGGCCACAAATGAGTCTTCCAAACAGACCATGACCCTAAGCATACTGCCAAATTAGTGAAAATGTGCTTTAAGGACAACAGAGTGAATGTTTTGGAGTGGCCATCACAAAGCCCTGATGTCAATCCTATAGAAAATGTGTGGGCAGAGTTGAAAAAGCTTGTGTGAGCAAGACAGCCAACAAATCTGACTCAGTTACAGCAATTCTGTCAGGAGGAATGGGCCAAAATTCCTGCAAACTATTGTGAGAAGCTTGTGGAAGGAGACCCAAAACATTTGACCAAAGTTATACAGTTTAAAAGCAAAGCTAAAAATACCAAGGAAATGAGTGTAAATTTGACTATCTAGAAACTAATCAAAATTTCTCCAAAAAAATAGATAAATAAATAAAATCTCTCATTATTCTGGCATTTAGCAAGAAAAAATGTAATCCTTATGGCCCTAAAATAGTAAACGTTTAGTATGATTTACCATCAGACAGTTTTTCAAAAAAAATTTTTTTTGGAGTGTATGTAAACTTCTGCTTTCAACTGTTTATCTGATCATCATCTGTGAAAAACTCAATCATATCCTGCATACTGATGCATTTTTTCTGATCAGATAAAAAGTTTCTCCTACTCAGTTTTCTTTGTGTGCATTTTCTAGATGCATGCACATCTTGGGATTTCCATTGTTATGCAATATTCCAAAATGTGTAAATACATATATACAGTAGGTGGATGGAATCAGTGATCATTAAAATACACCCTAAAATAAAGTGTGAACAAAGAAATCTATTTTTTCCCTGTACCTACTCAACCAAACTTGAATCAAAAGATAACTTACAAACAAGATGTGTGATGGAACTGTGAAATTTACTATATATATATATATATATTTTTTTACTTTCATCCACTTGTGCATGTGTGTGTTTGTTCAGTCTTGGCTGTGACGTCGGGTTTGGATACCTGCATCGCATCCCCATGTGTCCCGTCACATCTGAACAACACCAAAACACACCTGAACACCAGGAAAACAAGCACCGCTCTGAGGTACAACAATCGCTAAAATCACAACATGGCTGAATCTTCAAATGTGGGTAAAAAAAAAAGTTCAGCTTTGTCAGAGCAGTGTGTTTTCAGCTGTTTCTAGTGAACTCGACTGATGCTGAGGAGAAAACAGACGCTCAAGGTGGATCTGCTCAGGACACTTCTGAAGATTCAGCTCTATGTGAAATATCTCCCGGTGGGTCAAACCATTATTACATAACGTTGAATAAATCAATAACTGATTTATTTTCTCTTTGCCATGATGACAGCACATCATATTTGACTAGATGTTGTTCAGGATACTAGTATTCAGCTTAAATTGTCATATTAAGCTTGCATGCAGATCAGCTTGTTGTTGGAGACCCTTAAAACCAAAATATGACCCTATTTATTTATAATAGGGGCTCTTTAAAGGCTTAACTAGGGTAATTTTGTGCAACACGATAATGGCATATTTAAAACTGGTTCAGTTTGAACTATAGTATCTGGATGCAGCCTTTATGATGCAAGCTGAGATTGCATCACTCAGCGATGCAATGTCAGACACAATGCACTCAAATGGAGCGAGTGATGTCACTTTGAGGGGTGTGGTTAGGTGAGCCTATTAAAAAGCATTGGATGCAGCTCAGATTGCATCTGCACCAGGTCTGCATCCAGACCCTTCTCAATTTGAACAGCGTTTTAGAAAAGAGACATTTTCATTAAAGGGGTGGTCCACTACGATATCGTATTTTAAACTTTAGCTGATGTGTAATGTAGCTGTGTGAACATAAACAACATCTCTGAATGTAAAATGTTCTAAGTTCAATGGAAAGGGAGGCCTTGGCTTTTACAGAGTTAGCTTGGCAAAGCCTACAATGAACAAATTTTGGGGACTACAAAAAATACTTCCGCCCCCTGCGAGATCACAAAAGTTTGTTAACTGTGCATACACACTGCGCAAGTAAGGGCCGTGGCCAGAGGCGCTGTAACATTATAGCAGAGATGAAGCTAAAAATGCGTCTAAACGCTGCTGTTTCTACAGAGCTTCGTCTGTTTCTGTATTTGGGCCCCCAAAGCACACGACACAAAGACAGAAGTGCTTACAGGTCAATATTAATTATGTTCCAGAGAATTATAAAACACAGCAAGCATGATTTGACAAAACAGCTCCAGAATCTCTCCCAGTTCAGTGCTGGATTCGGCTAAAATCTCCTCAAAGCAGAAGCTGTGAGCTACAACTCTTAATATTTGCTAAAATTGATCATGACATGTACAGTGTCTAGCGTTAACCGTATGCTGTAGCAACGATGTGAACAATGGGAAATGCTGCTTTGCGGGCAAATGATTTAGCTACAAATTCATATTTATCAGTCAAACTGCTGTAAACACACACACACACACTCCACCAGCACTGTCTCTTATGTGTGTGCGCACGGGACTGCACTGATTTCCTTCAGGCAGCTTTTCCATGTGTTTCACATCTCAGATAAGGAAGTCGCAAAAGATATGTGGATGATTCATATTACTTACACCTGCATATTCCGGATACTCGTGAAAGACGTCATGTAACGCATAGAGTTAAAAAAAAAATACAGGTGAGCTTACCTGACTCGTGATAGCAGCAGAATAATAAATCAAGGCTCACACAGGAGGCATCCCACATCTTGTGCTTTATTCTTCTGTCAAGATATATTACAGAAAATAACTTAATCTGAGCATCAGAGAACGTCCCGAGCACATGCGCTTGTTACAGAAAGTTCACACATTCACACACACATAGACGCACACACATACGCTGTTAAAGGAGACGCACCCCATTTTCACTCGTTAGTTACAGACACATGTCAGATTTTATTTTAGAGAGCAGGAGGTTAACTGCATGTTTACACAGCAGAAAAGTGCGTGCTTTTAAGGGCGTGGCATGGAGCCGATCCGCCAATAGCTGCACATTATGACGATGACCAATCGATGTCACTTAAGGGCGGGCCTTTCAGAGGAACTAGGAAATATGACAGTCGTTTTCAGTGTTGCCAGACGTACGATAATTTCCGTATTTGTACGATAATTTCGACCTCTGTACGATTAATAATGAGAAAAATCCTATAATGTACGATAATTTCTGAAAATTTAATGGCATTTAAAAGTAACTTCATTGTAATCTTCGGGCTTCTTTACTTATTGATCTAGTTGCATCTTTTCTTGTGCTGTCTGTGAGGAGTAGGTGGAGTTAGGCACGTTTTCTATCTCATCTTACGTTGCCTCTTCTCAGCCAATCAACGTGGAGAATGGCTCTCTCTCACGAGTTAACGCTCCTGCTGCGCGTGCCCGTGGTTAGGTCAGTAGTTTTCAGTTTGAGGTCGATCTTTTAAGCAATAATGTTAAAACAATTTGTGCTGTAAAGGAAGGTAAGAAGGATGGGAGTTTTCCCTTGATGTTCTCGTTTTTCCCCATTCAAATGCGTCTTTTTTTTTTTTACAAAGTTTGTCTCATCAAAACAAAGCATGCACACCTCAGAAAATAAATCCCTCAACATCTGGCAACATTCAATGACAGCAACTCAGAGGTGGAGTTTGAACCTTCCCACTAAGGTACCTAGTTTTTTTTTTATGTATTGTGGTAATTTGCATGTTGTGTCAAAACGCTATGTGTCTACATAATAGCTGTATACTCTCAGTTTGACTCGTGTACGATAATTTGCCTCCAAATACGATAATTTTGAGGTTTTGGTACGATACTTTGACATTTCCAATCAGGCAACACTGGTCGTTTTCATGTTAGCTGAGTAGCTGTGTATAATCAAAGTGAGATATATGAAAAAACTACGCGACTTCCTTCAAGTGAAACATGAGCACACATTGCTTTGCATCTTATAAACACAACCAAGCCTTGAGTTTACATTCTGGACCAGCCCTTTAACTAAAGATGCTGTCTCAGTGTGGATGAGAGGCCGAAATGGAGAGGAAAAATATGCATTGTTAAACTAAAATGTATTCGTGTGGACATGGCTCAAGTGAATGTTGCTTACTGATCAGTTCATTTTCAAAGTGTGCAAACACAAAGTAGCAGAAGCCCATCTCTGTATAAACATGTCCTGTGTTAATTGAAGTTGGACCGTGTTAATTGTGTTTCTGACACCATCCTATGCCAGTATTGAGTATTGTACTTTTAAATGATAACCAGAAAGGTCGACCAGCAGTTAACAGGTTAAGAATATCAAGTGTTTTCCAATGCAAATTAAATGCATTAAGCAAACCATTTTCTTTTTGTATGTATGCATGTATGTGTGTGTGTGTTTGCAGCGTTGGCTCTCTCTGAATGTTTAGATTCATCTACTTCCCTTCTAGACGCCTCTACTTCGTCTCTGAAAGCTGATGATGATGATGAGGAGGAGGAGTCTGCTATTAGTAAGCATCCGATTAGCTTTAAAGATTAAATATTCTGGCTCTTTTTACAAGATGTACAATGCGTCTCTGATGTGTCTGGAGTGTCTAGTGAAGTTTGACATGCAGATAATGTTTTCTCTCTGAAACTGACCCTTTTAGGCTTTGATGACAGTCGCTGTTCATTTGTGCTTCATCTAAAACTCCACATCTATAATCCTCTTAGTCTATGCCAAGTGTGCCGCAAGCCTACGTTTGAGTGAAGGTTTCGGCCGTTAGATCGCCCCCTGGGGGCTGGCTGCAGTACAAGTCATAAAGCCCGCCTCCTCCGTGTTAATGAAGGAGACTTGAGCCCAAATAAAAAAAAATATTACACTTGCAATAAAATGTCCCGAAAGATAGTTCTGGTGGATTAAGGCACTGGTTATTTTGCTGAAATAGGTGCAGATCTTCATTTTTGTAAACAGTTTGTTTTTAGCAGTAATTTAATGCTGGGCGTGTCATCGTGATTGACAGCTGTGATTGACAGTTTCTCAAAGCAGCGCGTCTGAGCTTCGGCAGGAGACTGAAGTAGACTGAAATGTTATTATTCGATTTCTGTGTTATTTTACCATGACAAAATGAGTTCAGCAGTAAACTATAGTTTCTGACATACATGATCCTGGGGGAACACTGTTTATTCGCTAAGTTCAGGGCTTTTTTCGGGCTTTATTAGTTTGCTGATACACGCCTAGCCACCCAGATAGCAAAACACAGTTCCGGCTAGATTCTCGCCTGCCGGAGACTTATCTCTTAGAGCTCAGACTGACTAACGTTACCTCTGCTGGACCTACTCCGGATGCCTGGACTCACTACCCAATTCCAGCCCGAGTCAATCGAGCTAGATGCGGCGGCCGAGCGAGCAGGCGCTGCCGCATGCGAGCCGGAATCAGCCCGCGACGCCGCGAGTAAGTTATGCGCTGCGGCCCGGAGCTGGCGCGATTGAATATATAAAACCCTCATATTTGTTAACGTTATTACATCCATTTGTGTTGATATGGCAGCAAACGCATGCTGAGAAGTTCGGGGGGCGTAGTTGATTTTACATAAAGCGTTTGGTTGGAAGCTCGACTCTGCTCATTTTCGCGGCTCCTCCTCTGGCTCCATCAGACAATCCTTCTGCGCATGTCTGGCTCCAATTTCAGCAGTCTTTTGCGACAGTTTGTGCCCGTCAAGCAGGCGTTTTGCCCTCAAGGCGTTCAATGGGAAAAAGGGCTGTCGCGTCGTCCATATTTTTTACAGTCATTGGTCTATGCTGACGTTATCTTCAGCAGCTCAAACACTCTAATGGCTAATGGACAGACGGCTGCTTCTCACTCAGGGCTGCTGTTTATGCTAATGAGATGGAGAGAAGGGCACTAGTGGGCGGGGCTTGCCCCCTATGATGACACGTACAAATGGAGAATGTCAATCAAAGTGTTTCTGCATCAAGTCTGATTAGAACAAACACAATTAATTAATGTTGACCATTAGAGGCTGGAGATACTCACACACTGCTGACACACAACTGTGCTTAAACCCCTTATAGAAGTGATTATTTTAAGCAGACTCCTCCGCTAACGCTGCATTACTTCCTCATCTGCAGGCAGTCCTAAGATCAGCTCATCAGTCCTGCTGGAGGATTCAGGCATCTGTGAGTCTCAAACATCTCCTGCAATCATAAATACAACACCAAAGCATGACCAGACTGTCAAATGTACACAGAAAACACTCGCATAATCATGTGCTGTGCCTCAGGTGTGTGTGTGTGTTCTCAGGGTTTCTTTCACAGAAATAGTTCAGCTGCTTGAAATGTTTCACCTGTGGAATAGTATAATATGTATAGATGAAGCTTTAAATGTACTGTATATATAAGTATATACTGCTGTTGCTGCATGTGGGATTACTCTGGGATTATAGCACCACATTGTGTGTACAAGTGTGTATTTCTGCTTTACAGAATATTGCCTTCATCTAATTGTGAATATATGACTATATAGACAATAAAACCATATTCCACCCTTAAAAAACATAGTCTCCTATCGCACCACATCCCAAAGCTGCTCTATTGGATTGAGCTCTGGTGACTGTGGAGGCCATTTGAGTACAGTGAACTCATCGTCATGCTCAGGAAACCAATCTGAGATGATTGAGCTTCATGACATGTTGCGTTATCCTGCTGGAAGTAGCCATCAGAAGATGGAGACATTGTGCTCATAAAGGAATGGACATGGCCAGAACAATACTCAGGTATAATATATGAATATATTGAACATAGTTCTGATACATTAAAGATCTCTTAGTATTTAAAATTAGGCAGCTTCTGTGATGTAATAGGGTGGATAAACCCTGCCTTCACAGGAGAGCGACGCCCACTTCTGCTGATGCCTGTTAATATGCAAAAACGTCAGCCAATCAGAGCAGTGGGCGTTTACTTCTGCATATTTAATCAGCCACGCCCATCCAAACATTCAAAAATACACATTCATTCATTTTCCTTCGTCTAGGTCCCTTTATTTAACAGGGGTCGCCACAGCGGAATGAACCACCAACTATTCCACCATGTTCTACACAGCGGATGCACTTCCAGCTGCAACCCTGCAATCAATTCCCCTATAGCGCATGTGTTTGGACTGTGGGGGAAACCGGAGCACCCGGAGAAAACCCACGCGAACACAGGGAGAACATGCAAACTCCACACAGAAACGCCAACTGACCCAGCCGAGACTCAAACCAGTGTCACCGTGTTGCCCAGAAAATTATGACCTAATAACACTATAATTGGACCTCAGAGAACAGTCCAAAATATAAAGTTAGCTCTTACTTAACCTGACATGACCTTCTCTTAAGAAAAAAGGTGTGCATTTAAACTGGTTCGTTATTGGTTAATTTATTAAGCTGTTATTTACCCAAAATAGACTGCATATAATTACAATCAGCACAGGAAGCATAAATACAGGGGAGTGTGGACACGGGCGTCTGAAAAACTCTGAGCTTTTACTTTCTTCAGTTTCCTTGATGGTTTCAATGTTACTGGATTTATTATTCCTTTATTTGGAGAAGACCAAATATATACATGAATACATGTCACCAAACACTGTGCAAATCTGGGGAGGATCGACAGAAACCCTTTAATAGCTCTCTAATAATTCATTTTGTTTATAAAATTAATTATTCATTGATTTTTAGTGTATTTTCCTGTTCATGTATGGAAAGATGACACTCAGCAGCAATCCATCTGGATGAAGGAAGAATTTCAATTTAAGAAAATAGTGCCGTCAAACGATTCATCATGATCTATCACATCCAAAATAAAAGTTCCTATTTACATAATATATATGTGTGTGTGTGTATGTTTTAAATATTTAATTATATATAGTATATATTCAATTATATACGGTGTAAAATCGCTGTCTTTGAATCTACAATATCATAACATGTCATTTATTTCTCTTATTTCAAAGCTGAATGTTTAGTTTTCAGTCACATGATCCTTCAATATAAATATGCATTATTATTTTTATTATTATCATCATAATCATCTGTGAACAGTAGTCATTTATTGAAATATTTAATTATAATATTAAATATTCAATTCTATACTGTTTAAAATCGCTGTTTTCTCTTTAAATATATTATAAAATGTAACTTATTTGTTATTACACAGTGGAATTTTCTGTTTCCAGTCACATGATCCCTTTGAAATAATTATATTATGCAAATTACTGCAAAATAAAAATTATCATCATCATTTCTGAACAGTTCAGTAATGTTTATTGGGATTATTTAATGAATTATGCTTTAAATATTTCATTATAATATATTAAATATTCAGTCATATAGTGTTTGAAATCGCCCTCTTTTAATATACTGTATTATAAATTGTAATTTATTTCTCGTTTCAAAGCTAATTTTTTAGTTTCCAGTAACGTGATCCTTCAGAAATCATGACATTAAGCTGATTTGCTGCTAAATAAATATGCATTATTATTATTATCATCATCATCTATGAACAGTAGTTTATTTAAATATGTAAATATATATATATATATATATAAATATTCTATTATATACTGTTTAAAAAAGCTGTTTTTTTCTTTAAAAATATTATAAAATGTTGTTTATTTATTATTTTACAGCTGAATTGTTAATTTCCAGTCACTTGATCCCTCAGAAATCACTTAATTATGCTGATTTGCAGCAAAATAAACATTATTATTACCATCACCATCATCATCATCGATGAACAGTTGAGTAATATTTTTTTAGGATTATTAAATGAAATATGCTTTATTTAATTATAAAATATTCAATATTCAAGTATATATGGTTTTAAATAGCTGACTGTTTTTTTAAATATCTTATAAAATGTACTGTAAAAGCTGAATTTTTAGTTTATAGTCACATGATCCTTCAGAAATCATTCTATTTTGCTGATTCTTAGCAAAATAAATATGCATTATTATTATTATTATTATTACTACCATCATCATTATTTATGAACAGCTGAGCCATTTTTTCAGGATTCTTCAATGAATTATACTTTAAATATTTAATTACAATATATGAAACATTCAAGTATGTTTTGAATATGCAGTATTATCATATGTCATTTATTTCTCTTATACATAAAAAGATCAGAATAGATCAAAAATAATCTCTAAATAATTTATAACCTACAATAACACTAATATTAATAGTTTCTTAATCAGCACATGTTCATATTAGAGTGATTTCTGATGGATCACATGAGGAGAATTAATGATAAAAATTCAGCACTGAAATTACAGGAACCAACTCCATTTTATAATATATCCAAATAGAAATGTTTATCTTAAATAGTAAAAATGTGTCTAAATTGTACACTTTGCTGTACTTTGGATCAAATAAATGCATAAACATTAAATAATATAACATTAAAAGTCATTTTGTATTTTGTGTGTACCTAATATCCGTGTATACCTAATAAATATTCATATTACATAAGTATACATGCACTATATGAGATGAGGTCAAAATGACTAGTGTTAAACAACTACTATTCAGCTTAAAGTGCAATTTAAAGGCTTAAGTAGGCAAGTAATTATAGAAGAGTGGGTTTGTTCTGTAGACAATTGAGAATAAAAACATGAAGGGGGCTCATATCAATAACCTTAAAACTGCTTTAAAGACAATTTAAAACTGCTTTTATTCCGACCAAAGTAAAATCAATATGACTTTCCAGAAGAAAAAATATTATAGAAATTACTGTGAAAATTTTTCTTGCTCTAATTAAACATCCCTTGAGAAATATTTGATGTTGAATAAAAATGTTCATAGAAGGGCAAATAATTATGACTTTAATTATGTGTGTGTTTTTATGTATATATATATATATATGTGTGTGTGTAATATATATATATATATATATATATATATATATATATATATATATATTACGTAAATAAATAAACCTTTTATTTAGACTGTGATTAATCATTTGACCGCACTACTTTAAATCAAACTCACCTTCATATTTTCATCCATGCTTATTTTTTCTTTAAATGACTTATTCCTACTTTGTGACGTTACGAGTTACATGTCCTCATATTTGACATGAATAAGCACCTTTTTAAAGACACCGTACGTTTTCTTAAAAACAGAAAAGGTAAATAAAAACCTCCTATGCTCCAACTGGACTACAAAATAATTACAGTATATGTACAGAATGGATGCACTGATGACCACAGCATGTCAGTGAGAGAGATGCATCATGGGAAACGGAGTTCTTCAGTGCTCCTTCAAGACTCACGGTTGGTTTTTTAAAGCAGTTCCGCAGATCTGAAGACGTCATTGGCAACAAACACATCACTGGAATGTGAAATGAGAGAAAATAATAAAGGAGAAACTGAAACTGAGAGTGTTTCTGCGTTTGTCCAGCGTTTCTCCTCACATCTCCAGACTGAAGCGCGAGTGCAGGTGAGTGTGCTTTTTAATGGAAGTGTGTTTGCATGAGAGTTTCACGTTGATTTCTGCCGGTAGTGAAGCGTCAGGTCGCCGCCGCTCTTCCAGATGAAGTGCTTCACTGTTCGCAGGTCCATGTTTGGGTCCAAAACCTTCCGGAAACAACAAAAACACACGCAATTAGTGGTGTAACACATCACAAACCTCACGGTTCATAACACATTACGTTTTTTTAGTCATGGAGCGAACTATTTTTTAGATCAGCCAAAGGAGGAGACAAATGTAACTTGCTTTCCATTCAGTACAGAAACAGCACTGCAAGACACTTTTGGTTTGAACAAACTGAACCTAGAAGCTGTCATTTAATTAAAAATTAAATGAAGGAAGAATCAGCTGAATAAACAAACTGCTAAGTATTCTGTGAATAATTCACTGTTCCCCTACTGCTATTGCTGATAACGCTAAACGTAAAAATCTAACATTATCATTTGTACAACCCATATATATTTTTAATCTCATCTTCAATAAATTATTCATTCATATATATTCATGTTTCGTTGTTAGATGATCATTTTTGAAGAATTATTTAGTGGCAAAATAGGGTCCAACACGGTACTAGTAAGGTGTACCTAATAAAGTGGCCGGCGAGTGTATAATATAATATAATATAATATATAATATAATATAGTATAATATAATAAAATATAGTATAATATAATATAAAAGAATATAATATAATAAAATATACAATATAATATAATAATATAATATAAAAGAATATATAATACAATATAATATAATAAAATAAAATATAATATAATACAATACAATATAATAAAATATAATATATAAAATAATAAAATATAATAAAATGTAATAAAATATAATATAGTATAATATAATAAAATATAGTATAATATAATATAATACAATATAATAAATATAATATAATATAATGTAATAAAATATAATAAAATAGAATAGAATAATAAATATAATATAATATAATGTAATAAAATATAATATAATAAAATATAGTATAATATAATATAATATAAATAAAATATAGTATAATATAATAAAATATAGTATAATATAATATAATACAATATAATAAATATAATATAATATAATGTAATAAAATATAATATAATAAAATAGAATATAATAAAATAGAATAGAATAATAAATATAATATAATATAATGTAATAAAATATAATATAATAAAATAGAATATAATAAAATAGAATAGAATAATAAATATAATATAATATAATGTAATAAAATATAATATAATAAAATAGAATATAATAAAATAGAATAGAATAGAATAATAAATATAATATAATATAATGTAATACAATATAATAAAATATAATAAATATAATATAATGTAATGCAATATAATATAATAAAATAAAATATAAATATAAAATAATAAAATAAAAAATATAATACAATACAATACAATATAATACAATACAATATAATATAATATAATATAATATAATATAATATAATATAATATAATATAATATAATATAATATAAAATAAGTGCCGCAGCACCTGATCCTGGCAGAGCAGCTCGATCTTCTCCTCGGCCTGCACCGCCATCTCCTCGTCCTCCTTCTGCTCGCTGCTGGGCTTTTCTGCTGCTGATCCTCCAGTCTGAGACTCGCTGTCCAGATTAATGATCTTCTCATACACGTGCTCCATCACCTTCCTCACCTGCAGCATATCACTCGCTGACAGACGGTCCCTGACACACACACAGACAGAGACAGAGACGCACGCAAACAAACAAAGACATTACATGTTAACATTATAGAAAGAGTTTAATAATTGTTATTAGTTATTAATAATAATAATAGTAGTAAGAAGAAGAGCATAATATATTCTGAAACAAATGTCAATTATATAAAGGACAAATCATAATTAGTAAATCAAAAATACATTAATAATGTTCTACTCCATTATATTTATACTAACAATAAAATCTCGCACACATAAAAGGTTTGATTCTAATGTTTGTTATACAATTTAATCATATAAATATATATTGTTTATAATAAAAGATTGCTACTCAGTAGTTATTATTAGAAATGTTTTCATACTTCTTCAGTGTCTTCGCTCCGGAGGATGAATGTGGCTGGAGGTAGAACGGGATTTTGTTGAATTTGGGCATGTTTTTCTGTGGGAAGGAGAGAGAAATTAATAAATGTGACACGAGTGAAGTATCAGGTATAAAACAGACACACAAACACGCTAAAACAGTCACACAAACACAAAACAGACACACACACACACACACACACACACACACTCTTACGTCTACAGTGATGTCGATGACCCACTGCGGCACCGTCTCATTCAGCAGCATAGACTCTGTTTCTCCACCAGAGTCTCGACACAACAATCTGGAACACACACACAATTACTAAACTCCAGCAGATACAGAGCAAAGAAAACAAACACATAAATAAAAAAAAAACACACACTCCATTACAGAACTCCAACAGATACCGAGCAAAGAAAACACACACTCCATTTCTGAACTCCAGCAGATACAGACCACAGTAAGCACACAGTCATGCTCAGACACGAACACGCATGCATAAAACACACATCCAGACAGACAGACACTCACACGCACGCAAGCACACAAAACACACACATCATACTCACAGTTACACGCTCACACAGACACACTTGCTCGCATACACACACACACACCTGAATAATGTCCTTCCTCCTGCTTCACCAAATATCACCGGAGTGTGTGGAGGAACCTGGAAATATCCGTTTCCCTTCTGTATTCGACTCTCATGTTCACCGTTCACTGAGAACACACAACACATTATTAAATTAACAAAATAAAGGTCCATTTACAGATGTACACATGCAATGAAACACCTTAATTACACATAATACATACACAGTTTATGTATTTATTATGCATGCAAAAGATTGGTTTATTTAATAATAATAACAACAACAACAACAACAGTACTTATAAACATTGTTAAAATAGTAACATTTATTGCAATATACTATAATACATTATAGTTATATTATAACTATTAATCATGTTGTTATCCTAATATTATATTTCACATTTTTATCATCACTTTTAATTTTTTTTACAATAATAATCGCAATAATTGCTAATAATAATAAAGATTATTAATATGAAGATTATTATTAGTAATAGTATTATATTAGTTAATAGTAATAAAAATAAACAACAACTGATCTTGATAATAATAAATATAATAATAATAATAATAATGACCATTATTATTATGGAGATTATTAGCAGTATTATAATAGTTAATAGTAATAATAATAATAAACAACAACAACAGATAATAATAATAATTAACAACAGCAACAACAACAGATTATTAATAATAATAATAATAATAATAAGAACTGTTTGTAATAATAATAATAATAGTAATTAACAACAACAACAACAATTTATTAACATTATCATGAATAATAATAAAAATATTTAACAACAGCAACAACAATTGATTATTAGTAATAATAATAATAATAATAATAATAAAGATTATTATTAGTAGTAGTAGTATTATAATTGTTAATAGTAATAACAATAACAACAACAACTGATTATAATAATAATTAACAACAACAATTTATTAATAATATCATGAATAATAATCAACAACAGCAACAACAATTGATTAATAATAATAATTAACAACGTTTAAATATTATCATTAATAATAACAAAACAATTGATTGATGATAATAATAATAATAATAATAATAATAATAGCAATTAATAAAACCAATTAGAGATTTTTAAAAACATAATAAATGTGTAAATTATATGTACACATTTATAATAATAACAACAATTATAAATGAATAAATAAATAAACAAATTTTAAAAATTAACTATTTTGAATATTCTGCTGAGTGTTTTTGTCGTTTACCGCTGCTGTGGTTGAGTTCGGTCTCCTCATCCATAGGGTTTATGTGTGTGCGTGGCCAAAACTCCAGCAGAGCCTGAAGCAGCAGCCCACCGAGATTCACTACACACAGACACACAAACATTAATCCTGATACATCATCTATGATCATCATATTCAGACTGTGCTCACGTTTGGGGTCGGATCCGTCAGGGCTGCTGAATCCAGCGTCTTTAGCAGAAACCCAGGCTGCAAAACAGTCGCTCTCGTCCAGCGTTATAGTCAACATCTGACGGACACAAGAGTCTTAACTTACTCAACACTGGACACATGATTAAACAGCATTATTACACGGCTCTCTGAAACACTTGATTCTGATTTGTCAATCACGATATTTTTATATATTGTCATTTAAAATATTTTGTAATATTTAATTATATTAATTTATAAACAAAACATATTTAATTAAATATATATATAATTGTATTTAATTAAATATGTTTTATATATATTTAATTAAATATGTTTAATTTAATTATAAAATAAATATATATAAACGTATATATATACATATATATATATATATATATATATATATATATATATATATATATATATATATATATATATATATGTATTTTTTTTTTTTTTTTTTTTTTATTATTATAATACCCCCCATCCCCTTATACTTATATCTACTTTATCCGTAACTCATCCTGTGTCGTACCCCAGTCTTCAGGTCCACTGAAAACCAGTTGGGCACATAAACCATCTTGAAGCGCTTCTTGATCTCCTCATCAAACTCCATCTTGCCCAGATCTTCAACTTTACAGGCCTGTGGAGCACAAATTAATACATTTGAATGAAAACAGCTCCTTCAGCAATAGTGCATCAAGTTAAATCAAGTATAAAGAAATGTTTACATCAGTGTAATGGTAGAACACATGCAATATATGAATGTAATAACTATTTTAATACATATGAGGTGTGTGTGTGTGTATATTCTAAATACAAACATGAGCTTGTTTTCCTATCTCAGTGAGGACATTACTTAGATAATTGTAGTAATTTTAATAGATAATTACATTGCTATAATATCAGTTTAATGATACTGTCTATAGACTAACCCTAAACCAATCATCACAAACAAGTGTATATCATTAAAAACTGTATTAGATAATAATAAAAACATGTTCTGTCTGATTTATATGAATTTTTAATGAGTGAGCCCTCACAAGTATAGCAAAACCAGTAAAGTAAACAACGGTACCTTCAGCACATCCCAGTACGCCACATTATTATTGGTGTCTTTGGTCAGAATGTGTCTCTTGTCATTCAGAATGTGGCACTGAATTATACTGGCGCCACCTAGAGGTCCAGACACATCAACACATGAAGATGATTATCATCATTATTAACAATTATTAAAATATAACCATTGTTAGATAAAATACTTCAAAAACGAAATGATATACAATAAAAATAAATAAATAAACAAATTATCAATATTAAAGTGGTTTTAAAGCATATTTTCTTTAAACTCTATTAGTCTCAGCTACTTAAATAAATTGTTGATTATAGAAATGAGGTGTGAAATTCACAAATAAGTGATTAAAACTATTATTTCGCACAAAAAAATCTCTGTTAACCAAAAAAAAAAAAATCATGTTTACAGGAGGGCTAATAAGTTTAACTGTTTGTGAATATCATGACTAAATGATTATATTTATGCGTGCGTGTGTGTGTGTGTGTTTATAAGGAATGAAGGGCAGTACCTTTGATGACCTGCTCAGGCTGTGTGCAGAGTGGCGTCAGCGGAGCACTGCAGTCATTATCGTAATCTCCAGACGCTCGGAAATTATGGATACCCTTCAGAGACTAAAACACACAAACATCATTTACAACAGGCTTGTTGTTGCATTGGTGAAATTCACCCATTAACACTTTTTGTTGATTTTTCTTTGTGTCGGTCCACATGTTTGCAGCGAACAGCAGGAAAGTGGGAAAATGATGTTTGCTGCCCACATCTCCGAACCACTTGAGGGAGGGTGAATACAGAGTAAATGTTCAGTTGTTGGGTAAACTATGAACACCAGCTGAACTCACCCATTTGTTCACTGTGGACTTGGTGGTGGAAACCCAGATGGCGTTGTGTGGATCTGCTGACCGGTCCAGCTCCATCTGAAAGAGGACAAAAACATGGTCACACCCCACCAGTTTCAGTTTACTCTCTAATACCTGCTCATTATACACAGCTGCTGAAGCCACTGGCATTTCTGCAGACCTGCAGAAGCTGATTTAAAATGTATGAGCTCCATGATGTAAAATAAAAATAAATACAATTAAAATGGTAATTTAGCATCATCGAGATTACATTACATTCATTCATTTTCTTTTCGACTTAGTCCTTTTATAAATCTAGGGTCGCCACAGCGGAATGAACCACCAACTTATCCAGCACGCTTTACGCAGCGGATGCCCTTCCAGCTGTAACCCATCTCTGTGAAACATCCACACACACTCATCTACTTTCATACACTACGGACAATTGAGGGTGCTTTCACACCTGTGAATCGATTCGTTGTTCCGAAACAGAAAAGTGCATTTTAAGATGTTAATTAAAGATTACAGGAGCAATCGATTTTATTTATCTTACTGTTATGCACAGATGAAATGTTCACCACAAAACTAGCAGAGTGAGCGAACGAAGCCAGCATGGTTAGATTTGATTACATGTTTACATTAAAAGCAGTCCAGTATAACTTATTCTGATCATACCTTTAGCACCGGTGCCTTCTCTTCACAGATGAGCACCCGTATGTCAGGATTGCGCAAGTCAGTGCAGTATATCTTGCGGTCGCGTCCGCCGGAGTAAACGTGTGTGAAGGCCTCGTTGACCTGCAGAGCCCACACACCTTCATCATGGACGCGATACGTGGCGATGCACCGCTGCTGACCCAAAGACCAGAGCCGGATCGTCCCGTCTGAACTGCCTGACAGACACTGAAACACACAGAGAGATGAACACACTAGATATTTTTCAGGATACTAGTATTCAGCTTAAAGTGACATTTAAAGCACAGCTAGGTTAATTAGGGTAAAGTTAGGGTAATTAGGCAAGTCTTTGTTTGTTCTGTAGACAATCCAACAAATATTGCTTAAGGGGGCTAATAAATTTGACCTTGAAATGGCTTTAAAACAATTAAAACATATTTTATTCTAGCCGAAATACACCAAATAAGACTATCCAGAAGAAAAAAAAGTAGAGGAAATACTGTGAAAAATTCCTGAATGTGCTCAACATCATTTGGGAAATATTTGAAAAAGAAAACAAAATTCACAGGAGGGATTGTTTTCTTTTAGTGTTACTTTTAGTTACTCTATTGTAAAGTGTGACCAATTTAAAGATGAACATGCAAAAACCTCAATAGGTGTTTATTTTATCATTGAAAAAAATGACTTCAGCTGAAAACACAGGTTTGGTCTCACCTGAGTGCCGTCTCTGTTGAGCAGCAGAGATTTGACGTTGTCTGTGTGTCCCTTCAGTTTCATGAGTTTGGCACAGGTTCGTGGATCCCACACTCTTAAAACCTGACCAAAAAGATTGAAGTACATTCACTGACTCATTCTAACAACACTGCAAGCACAAACGGACTACAAATAACAACACAAACATCATCTTTAAAATTTACTCTAGTAAAAACATGTAATAAAAATACACTAAGAGGCAAAAATCACGTTCATAAGGATTTAAACACTGTGTGAGAATATAGCCAGTCTCTAATGGTTCAACTTTTTATTTAGTTCAATGTTTATCTCTGCAGTGCTTATACAATGTAGACTGTGTTAAAGCAGCTTAACATAGAAGTTCTAGTAAACTGAAACAGTGTCAGTCCAGTTTTCAGAGTTTAAATCTATTAAATCATTATTGATATACAGTTGGACACTCATGTGGTCAAATTTTATGTGATTTAAATCATTTTAGTCTATTAAAAGTAACATTCAAGGACAGGATTTAAGCCTGGCTCACACTATGATAATATTAATTAATTCATTCATTCATTTTCTTGTCGGTTTAGTCCCTTTATTAATCCGGGGTGGCCACAGCAGAATGAACCGCCAACTTCCAGCAAGTTTTCATGCAGCGGATGCCCTTCCAGCTGCAACCCATCTCTGGGAAACATCCACACACACTCATTCAGACTCATACACTACAGACAATTTAGCCTACCCAATTCACCTGTACCGCATGTCTGTGGACTGTGGGGGAAACCAGAGCACCCGAAGGAAACCCACGCAAATGCAGGGAGAACATACAATAATAATAATAATAATAATAATAATAATAATAATAATAATAATAATATTCCCAGAGATGGGTTGCGGCTGGAAGGGCATCCGATGGGTAAAATGTGCAGGATAAGTTGGCGGTTCATTCCGCTGTGGCGACCCCAGATTAATAAAGGGACTAAGTCGAAAAGAAAATAAATGAATGAATGAATGAATAATACTAATATTAATAATAAAACATTAACAATTTTTATTTAATTATTATATTATTTATTTATTTATTTTTACATACTGTATGTGTGTATGTTTTATTTTAGGACGTTGTCCAGTGTTGTCAATCTTTGAAAAACAAAATAAAACTATATTGATCGAATAAACCAGGGATGCATCAGCAAAACCAAAATGACAACCACAATTCAGTCAAATCTTAATTTCTGCTGTGCATCTTCTACTGGAAGCTGCTGTCATATCATGGACATTAAAAGCATTGTGATGCCTCAAACCTTTTCAGTGGATCCCGAAACTATAACCGTCCCCATCTGATTCATGGCCAAACTGTAGATAGAGTCCTTGTTTCCGCTGAGAGAAGATGCTGTAAAACACCAATAAAACACTGCATTTATCATCCACATAAAATAAAGTCCAGCACTTACAGACTCTTTAATATCAAATCTGGGTCTGCTGATAAAAGGAGACAACAAACGCTTAATTAACATTGAAGAATGGAAGATTTACATTTTCATCAATGCATTTGGTAAACGACTTCATGCAAATCAATTTGGTTTGTTTGACTACAGAGATAGACTAATGATCATTCATAGAATACACAATAAATTGAGCTGGAACAAATATGAACAAACTAGAGATGCACTGAAAGGAAAACTTCGAATGCACTTGGCTGTAAAGCAAAAATGATTTATTAAATAATATAATCTTGTAATACTTTACATTTACCTCAATAACTTGGATATTACTGATTTAAAAAAACACAGGCCAATAAAACACCACATTTGTAACCCTAGATCAGAAAGCCGATAGCCAAAAATGGATTAAAACTTTAGATTTTTATTCCTAATTGGTGCTAAAATTATGCCAAATTCTTTTTTAAAAATCATCCAAATATTATGCAAGGAAGATCATGTTATATGAAGACATACTGCAAATGTTCTACTGTAATTATGCCATTTTACACTTAGCTACATTGATTTACTAAACATTGCATTAGGATCTTCCAAAGATTCAGATTTTCATTAGTCTAAAAATTCTAACCTTCAAATTACATGTTAAAATGGGTTTATCTGTGGCTGAACATTTGGTGCAACCCTTGAACAAAACTAACCATTGGGCTCTTTTTTAAAGTTTTTTTTTCTTCTTTTATTTAGATTTTTATTGCATTAATTTCAACATTTACTTACAGATGTATTGTATTGTATTTTTTATTTAATGCCATGTCAGCAACCAAAGCTATTTTAATGGCAGGAATCTTTCAGCAATAAATATACAATTTAAAAATCAACAAACAAAATAAAACATGAATTAAATAAGACTTTTTGTGTTAATACATGAAAATCTTTTCTGGTTTCACTTTGTCAAAAATGTCCTTAAAAGAGTTCATTTCATAAAAAGGCCTTCTGGAATCAGTAAAAGCAGGACAGTCCAGTAAAATGTGTTTTATAGTAAGAGGAGTTTTGCAGCACAAACACTGAGTAAGGTTTTCACCTTAAAGCAAAAAACCATGTGTTATTCTCGTATGCCCAATACGACATCTGGTAAAAACTACTTGATCAAATCGATTCTTAAAATGTCTTAAAATTCTGTGTGAGATTTCAGGTTGGATTTCATGTAATTTATTGTTTTCTAATGCATCCCATTCCTTTTGCCACTTGTTTAAAATGTAAGCGTTGATAAAAGATTTCATCTCTGACGGAGGAGTTTGGCATTTGTTCACTACTTGCTTCAAAGCATCTTTAGTAGCTGCATCAGCTCGCTCATTGCCTGAAAGTCCGACATGTCCTGGAACCCAGCAAAAAATGATGTGATAAAACTGATTTTGTTGTTGGTCACTTTTAGTTAAAATATTATCAATCAAAGGATGATCATTCGTTGAAGATTCCATAACTTGGAGGCATGATTTAGAGTCTGTAAAAATGATGGATTTCTTTTGCTGGGCATTTTCTATATACTCCAATGCTAAAAGTAAAGTGCAGGCTTCAGCTGTGAATATGGAGCATTCTTTAGGCCAGGGGTCAGCAATCCGCGGCTCTTTAACATTGCCCTTGTGGCTCCCTGGAGCTTTTTAAAAAATGTTTGAAAATGGAAAAAGATGGGGGAGGTTAATATATTTTTTGTTTTAATATGATTTCTATAGGAGGACAAACATTTTAGCGTTTTCAAATGCTGTAAAAGTGTGTAGAATTAATATTTAATTTCAACATTTCTGTCAGCGAAGATTTGCGTCATAGCCTGCGACACACGTTTCTATCAGCAGGGCGGGATGCCAGGCAGGTGGCTGTTGTAAACAAACCGGGAGATAATAAAGCATGGAAAACCGTACACAGATGTTGACTACATGAAGGAGTCATTCATCAAAATATTAGAACACCTATTTGCAGACTTCAAAAACAAAACCAAGATAATACAAAAAATTAAAGACATACCTCTCTCCGCTACGACAGTAAAGGAAAGGGCTATTAAAATGGCAGGTAACATCACCGGTCAGCAAACCAAGGACATTAATTCAGTGCCCGTTCAATTGCCTGTGATGTGACCGATATTAAACGCGCAGGTATGTGAAGTCCGATGGGCCGCAAGAAGAAATGATCAAATTAATACCACTAAAAGACCAGAGGCTGTGCTGTGTAAATAAACACCAACCACCTGATTTCAGTGGCTATTTAATCATGAAGGCTCATTATGTATTTTTAGCCAACTTAGTCATTTTTATAGTAGGCTAATATAGCTAATATAGATACATACAGCATGTGTTTCCTTCATTATAAGGTTATATAAGGCTTTACATTTTTTGCGGCTCCAGACATATTTGTTTTTTGTTTTTTTTGGTCCAATATGGCTCTTTCAACATTTTGGGTTGCCGACCCCTGCTTTAGGCAGACTGATTCCACAATGTTGTTGACCCAGTTACCATTGCTGCTGCTACGCCATTTTCCACCTTTGAGCCATCTGAAAAAATAGGTGAATGCTGAGAATATTGGCTTCTAATATCCAAATATTGTTGTCTGTAAACATTGGGATGAGCTACTCCTTTCTTCTGATGTCCTAAATCCATATTGATTATGGGCTTCTTTAGAGTCCAATGAGGCAGGGCACTGTGTATTTGACTTAATATGTCCAGGTTTATGTTTAAATTTTGCAGATGTGGGTTAATGCGTTTACTTCAGATGTATAGCATACAGCGCTTTTTACATTGCATATACAAAACAATTAAATATAAGAATCAAGAAAGAGTAGAAGATGAATGAATGAATGAATGAATGAATGAATGAATGATACTTTAGCTCATATTTTACATTAAATTTTAACTCTGGGGTTTGTTTATATTTGACTCAAAGTTCAGTAGGTTTTAGAGTGTATTGTAAACTCACTAGTGACGGTGTTGTTGGATGCGGTCAGCGCTGTCAGTGTGTTCACATCCCAGAGGAAGATTTGTCTGTCCAGCCCTGCTGAAGCCACCAGCTCTTTGTCTTTAGCATACGCTAATGCTTTAACATAGTCCTAAAAAACAAATATATAGTATTATCAGCAAATAAAAAAACTGATGCAATGCACACTTCACTGTGTGTGTAATGAACAGTCAGATATGATTAGTCGCAAGTCTAAAAGGGACAGTTCACCCAAATATGAGCATTTCTTTATGTAAACCTTTATGAGTTTCTTTGTTATGTTGAACACAAAATAAGATAATCTGAAGAATGATGGAGAAGAGCAGCCACTGACATCCATAGTAAGACAAAAATACTAAATATGAAAATAATACATTAGTAAAAATACTGTGGAGGTCTATGGCTGCATTGTTCAGTATATCTACATATGTGTTCAACAGAAGAAGGAAACTCAAACAGGTTTAAAACAAGTGGAGGATAAGGAAATGAAGACAGAATTTACATTTCGGGGTAAACTATACCTCTAGGGCTTGACCAAAATATTTTTGAAGAGAGATAAATAAACACTCAAGTTATCAATGCAGAATATATTCACAAGATATGCTATAGTTCAGTAATAGTACAAGAAAAAGCGATGTTTTCCACCATCATACCAAATGTGATGCTTATTTTATTACATGAAGTCATGATCAGCATGCTCTAATTGTTTTGCATTTATTTATACATTAAGCACCAATAGTGAAGAGAGAAAATAAGTTCACTATTGTTTCACTATAATTCTTCGCTCACTTTATAAATCAATTATACTGATGTCAAGTTTCAATCACTAAAACATGCACATCCCATTTTACAATATTACCTAAACCTGGCACCTAAGCTCTGGAAAAGCCTTCCAAGCACAGTTCGGTCAAAGCTTAAACTAAAATAAATAAATTTAAAACTAACTTAAAATTAATTAATTAATTTTAAATAGATAAAATAAATTACGATAAATAAATAAATAAAAATAGCATAAATAAATATACATTAATCAATTTAATAAATAAATAAAATGAAAATAAATAAATGAATTAAAAATAAATTAAAATATATAAATAAATAATTATAAATTAATTTAAAATAAATTAATAAATTTAAAATATGAAAAAGATTTTAAAAAAATAAAATTAACATCAATAAATAAATGAAAAAAAATAAACAAGTAGTGCATATCTAATGTAAATCTAAGTAGCTAAGTATTTCCCTTTTATAGTGAATAAATATATTCAAAGGCTGCTGAACCTCTGTCTGAAAGGCACTTTTGATCAATTATATAATAAAATTGTTTTGTATTTTCCATTTTGTATTTTTTTTTCCTCAGTGTAGGGCTCTCACAGCATTCTTTTAACTAGTGGGTGCGTCTATAAAGCACGAGTCTGTCGCTCCATGTATGCAAGCCACGCGCCTCCATTGGAAATAACGAACTTGCGCGCACAAAAGACTCGATATGCGACTGGCCCTTACTTATAAGCTTCAGCCACAGTTAATCCAGTGTGCATAGTGTACAAACTCAGAACTTCAAACCAGCACTCAGTTGGCAAAACGTTTGGTTGCAGCAGTTTTGTTCCATGCAGAAACGGTGTTGAGAAGCCTTGACGATTAATTAACCGTGATAAATTAAACCACGGTTAATAGCGAAGACGGCTAATCATTGAATCCCTATGGAGGAGTGGAGAGCATGAGACTGATTCCTGTAAGGCCCTAGTGACAGACAAGACTTCGCATTGATCCTAAAGGGCCAGCCTGTACACCAGCCGGTCACCTTCTCCACAATGCACGTCCAGCCTTCTCCAGCACCTGGACTGCAGCTCTGCACAATAAGTTTGGCCAGAGGAGAAATGGTTGTGCCCAACTTAGCTTGGTTTCTTCCTTCACTTCACCATATGATGAAGTTTGTTCCTCCACTGTCGCCACTGGCTTGCTTGGTTCGGGACTTGTGGAGTTGCACATCGATGGATTTGCTCTTCAGTGTTTGGACTGTCATCAGTGAATATTTAACCACACTGAACTGAACTTTAACTCTGAAAATTGAACTGATTCGGTTTCAATCTACTATGATCTTCTATGTGAAGCTGCTTTGACACAATCTATATTGTAAAAGCGCTATACAAATAAAGCTGAATTGAATATTAGAATATTATGCAAAACACAGGTCACCAACAGTTCAAAAAATAAGTTGATACTGACTGATGTTTTAAACACTATATTGTCTTTTTTGTGCCGTTTCTTGATTGAATTAACATTTTTCTGAACGTCATTTGACATTCATATTTTTGTACCGCCTGATGCAGATTAAATGGGGTGAAACATCAATATTAAATTATGACTTTTAAGACAAAGCATTGTGCTGCAATTATATTTTTGATCATGCACCTGATATATATAAAGAATTATTTTCTTCTTCCCCATTTGCTTACAACATTTAGTTTCATCAAACACATCAGTACCTTGTGCGTTCGCAGTGTGGACATACAGAAGCCCTTATGTGCATTCCAGACCTTCACTGTAGTGTCTGACGATGCTGAGATCACTGTAGAGACATTAGTAAAATGCACACACACAAAAAGAAAATAAATAAAAATATGTCATTGACTTTGATACATATATTATGCATTATCTTATTGAGATAACAATTAAAACGTTGATTTATTGCGCAGCCCTAAACAGTATTATATAATCCCAGCAAACACTCAAGCTAAACACTCACACGTCTTTCCATTGCAGCAGAGGACGATGTCATTCACCCAGTCTGTGTGGTGCTCCATTGATGCAATGTAAGGATCCTGCTGTAGGAAACACTCACAGCATCATTTTAAAGCTCTCTCTCAGTTGTTTTGATATTATTTACTCTGGTTATTTATTTAGGTTTTGTTTATTGCTGGATAAAAGATTAAATCGCAATTAATCACAGCCAAAAAAAATGGTTTTGACATAATTTGTGCATGTATTATAAACACATTTATTATGTATATGTGATAAAAACAAAATTACACAAGGAATTTCATTACATAGACATATAATTTGTTAACATTTATATTTAGGGTTCTTACACATTTCCAACTTCAAAATTTCAGCACTTCTCAAGGTGCATTTTTGTTGCTATTAGAATTATTAGAATGTCGAATTATTAGCCATCCTTTGAAGTTTTTTTTGTATTTCCCAAATGATGTTTAACAGAGCAAAGAAATTTCCACAGTATGTCTGATAATATTTTTTCTTCTAGAGAAAGTGTTTGATAGTCTACAGAACAAACCATTGTTATACAATATTTTATATCTAAATACATGCCTGCATGTGTGCATTTATATACCTAAAAATATACATAGTACACACACATATTTAAAATCAAAACTTTTATTTTGGATGCGATTAAATCACAATTAATTGCCATATCAGAAGCATTGACTATATTCATGGGAAAACCTGTCCTATGCATTAAATATATAATTTACAATCATAACTGTTACTTAATAATCAATCATTATCTAAAAACAACATACAAATAAACAACACTCATACAAAAGATCACAGTAGATGTTCAAATTTGATCAATTATCAATAAATACTGTATAATTGCTCCATTTAAAATATTGTATGAATAAAACATTATTCATGTTTTATTCCCTTTAAATATTTTATGAATAAAAAAAAATTCTTATATTATTTTAAAATGCAAAATTATTGCTAATATTATTATTAAATAATATAATATATAATATTAAAGTATGCCTTTATCCTCTTGGTTCAGTGACTGACAGGTTACCTTGTGCTGGTTGACGCTCCATATCCTAATAATGGAGTCTCGTCCGGCCGTGAAGAGCCGGTTAAGAGCTGGATCCAGCTGTAGCGCATTGACTCCATTACGATTATATTTCTCCACCTCATCTCTGATCACATATGACACCTGCAACACACACAGTACACACTTAAGACCACCTGCAACTATATCTACCAGAGTTCATAGTAATGTAGAAATGTGCTGATATTCAATAATTCAATATATGGTCATTATTAACATGCAAACTGTGATCATTTCTTAGTTAATGTCTACCTAAAATAGTGGTCATAATCTGATGACAAGTCATAATGTGTGTATACAGTTATTAACTATTATAATTCAGCTGTATTAATATAGTGGCTGTATTAAATCTGCCTTTTTCTCACTGTTGATTTTAATTATTAACTAACATTGAATTGCATTTCTTTAGCAATTTAATTTGGTTGAAACATTTGTTTAGTATGAATATTTATAATAAACTCATTTATATAAATGCTTTCAGTAATTCTATCTGTTAAAGTAATACTTTTTGCAGCTATCTTGGTCAATACATAATAAAAAAACAAGAAAATGAGATGCATTATAAGCCGTTTTCTAGATATTATCCATGTTTTAACATGTCTATATGCAGGAATAGAAATAATTTAGAGAATTTTGGGCACAAATGGGTTTAAGGAGCGATACACCAAATTTACTGATTAATTTGCACAAACATGGACACCTAAAGATGAAGATTTAGGGTACATTTACACAAATATTGCTTATAAGGAGAGGAAATGTTTTTCTTTGCATTTCTTAAGTGTTTCTCGCATAGATGAGAATGTTGTAAAAATGATCCAATTCACCAAAACTATTACATTTATTTACGTTTTAATGTCATGTCAGCACCACTGGTTAAATTCATGGCAACACTAATAATAAATATTCAATACATAATTTACATTCATAACTGTTTCTTAATAAACAAGCATTATAAAACTTACAGATAACAACACACTACTGACAAAAAAGGCATACATTTTATTTAAGTCAATGATAAACAATCTAAAATTCTTCCAGAAGACACTTGTTTGAACAAAAATGTATATATATGGTCCGGTAGTTGGCGCTGTGCCATTATAAATATTTTTACTAAACACATTTCCTTCCTTAGGGTTAGACTAGTAGTTAGGACTGCATTTAATAATTTTATTAAACCAAACATCTACTTTATTTGGCTTTTAATTTAGAATAAACCTGTATTATCATGCATTGTGTACAACTTTCGACTAGTGTACAATTGTTTTCCAGTAGAAATGTCTATTCACAATTAAAAGCCAGATCTTTCTTATCATTTTGAAAGAAACTCACGTACATTATAAAGACACACTAAGCTTAGTGACATATTTAATGAAATATACACCCAAAAAACAACTACAAATCTATCACAATTTACTCATCCTCCACTTGTTACAAACCTGTTTAAGTCATTTTTATTCATTTTATAAAATAATATTAGAGTTTTTAAGGATTGTCAAGACGCTACTTTTTAAAAGTGAAGCTAAGCGTGTTTAAACATGTCTATATTGACAAACAATGGAAAAGTAGGTTATCAAAGCATTTAGTTCTGCGTTATGCATTGAGTGTTGTGATTTCTGATTAGGCATGGGCCGCTGGTATTAGATTCTGAAGGTTTCACAGTATCATGGTTAGGGTTGTAACAATATACCGGTATGACGGTTTACCACGATTTGAACGTGCACGATTATCATACCATGAACAATTGCATATCAACGGTTTTAACCCTTAAAGACCGAGACATTAAAAGACCGCGGCTAAAAATAAGTATTGCTCTTAAATGTTTAAATGTTTAATAACTTTTGATCCGCTGATCCGATTCATACAATTCAAAGATTGGCATAAAGAAGAGAATCTCAGCTTTCCAATGCTGTATCACATAACATTCGCGGACTTTCTTTTTTTTTTTTTTTTTTTTTTTTTTTTTTTTTTTTTTTATTGAAAATACAAAATCCAAATACAACAAAATGGGTTCCAATTTTACAACTTGTGTGTCATATATGGAAGGCTCAACACAAAATAATATACAAAGATACAAATGTAATATACAAAAAACATTCAAATTAAATAAATCCAAGAGTGAAAGGAAAACGCAAAAATTAAATAAATAAATAAATAAAAATTAAGTACAACATATATATCATCTATGGCAAGTTATATACTACAAATAAATTGAACATTTTTAAGGCAATTTTTGTTTTCATTTTAACTAGGGCATCTGAAAATATTTTAAGTTCTTTTTTAAATACAATAAGTAATGGAGGAGTTTTGAAATATCTACATTTATGAATAAAATATTTGGCTAACACAATTATCATATTTATCAAATCGTGCAAAGTAGAGCAATCTTTAGTAATTCCATATAGTACATCTTGTAATGTAAAAGTCAAACCTTCAGCATCCACGTTTTTTATTATCAACCAGTCTTGTACTTTTTTCCAAAATGATTGAACGGCGCTGCAAGAGAAAAATATGTGTTCTGTGTCTTCACTAAAGTGTTTACATAAATGGCATGGTGAGTTTTCTAAGTTAAATTTTATGTGTAAGAAACTATTAGAAGGGTATATATCATTTAATATTTTAAATTGTACTTCTTTTGCCTTGGGGAGAATTGGAAATTTAAGATATGTTGTTCTAAAAAATTTAACAGTATTTTTATCCGTTGAATGAAATAACCTATTTCTTAATACTTGATAAGGGAAACAAGATTGGATAATAATTTGTCTTAAATGTTTATTAGTGCAAAGTTTATTATCAAATTCAAACTCACCAGTATATAATAAGGGAAGGACTGGAGTAATTTTCGAATAGGATAGGTAACTTTTCATTAACATTTTTATACCCGAGGGTATAGCATTAATAACAGTGAAAAATTGCTTTGGATGACAAGCAAATCCGTGTCTTAGAGTGAAAGTATTGTAATCTAGAATATTGCCCCTTCCATCCATTAAGTCTGTTACTGACCAAATGTTTTTATTTAACCATTCTTCATAAAAAATGGATTTGTTCCTGTGTAGAATATACTTGTTATTCCAAATAGGGGTATTGTGAGGTGTAAAATTATGTGTGTGAGCTAGTTTCCAAGACAGCAAGACTTGTTGGTGGAATGCTGAAAGCTTCACTGGGAGTTTAGACAAGTCAAAGTCACATCTGAGAAGAAATCGGATGCCACCTAGTTTGTTAAACAAGGCACAAGGAACAGTGTACCAGAAACTTTCAGTATTACTCAAAAACCTTTGAAGCCATTTCAGTTTTAACATACTATTCATACTTTCAAACTCAATAATATTAAGACCACCTTCTTCATACGATTTGATAATATCAGATTTTTTAATATAATGGGTTTTGTGTCTCCAAATAAAGTCATACATTTTTTGGTTACTTGTTTTTATAAATGCTGAAGAGGGAGCTAAAGCCTGAGCAGGATAAATTAGTTTTGATAGATATTCAACCTTGGATAGAAGAATTCGTCCAAAAATTGAAATATCTCTCTGCAGCCAGCAATTCAGGATACCATTAGCTTTATGTACTTTATTTTCAAAGTTTTCTTTGATGTTAATGTTTGAATCTTTTGAGATCAAAATGCCTAAATATTTCACAGTTTCTTTTACTGGGATGTTACACAGGGATAGATCTGGACTAGGGTGAAGAGCTAAAAGTTCACATTTGTTTAAATTTAATTGGAGGCCAGATGCTTTACAAAAAGAACTAATTAAAGAGATAGCTGGAGAAATTTGGTCTTTATTTTTTAAAAATAATGTGGTGTCGTCCGCTAGCTGACTAATTCCTATTGTTTTTCCGAAAATATTTAATTTCTCCACTGAATTATCAAATGTAATTTTTGTGGCTAACATGTCTACCGCTAAAATAAATAAAAATGGAGACAAAGGGCACCCCTGCCTTATTCCACGGCCAATCGGAAATCTATGTGTAGTGCCAGAAGGGAGAGATACTGAACTATTCATATTTCCATAAATCATTTTGATAATATTAACAAATTTATCACCAAAGCCAAATAATTCTAAGGACTTGAAAATAAAAGTGTGCTCAATCATGTCAAAGGCTTTCTTAAAATCTAAAAAAAGGATAAAACCATCATCCTCTATTAAGTCACAGTACTCTACCAAGTCCATCACCAACCTTATATTATTATGAATCGACCTACCTTTCAGAAAGCCAGATTGGGATTCGTTAATTAAGTTATGAATACCTTTTTTTAATCTATTAACATATGCGTGTGTGAAAATTTTATAATCACTGTTGAGTAAAGTGATTGGGCGAAAGTTATCAATCAATTTTAAGTCTTTATCAGGTTTTGGAATTAGTGTGATTAAACCTTGGTTCATACTTGGACCTAAAGATCCATCTTCAATAGATTCACGGAAAGCATCAAATAGTAATGATCTAATATCATTCCAGAAAAATTTATAAAAATTAGCGGTGAGACCGTCAGGACCAGGAGATTTATTCAATTTAAGCTTTTGAACAGCAGAGTCAAGTTCTTCAATTTGTAAATCGGCCTCACAGCCTTCTCGCCACTCGTTGTTGATACGGGGAATATTAGGTAATATTTTATCAAAAAATTCATTTAAATCAGAATGAGAGAGGTTGGAAGAATACAAGTCACTGTAGAATTTAAAAACATTCTCCCTGATTATAGTGGGGTCTGAGCATTCTGTGCCATTTATTAATAGAGAAAGTATAGAGTTATTCTGTTGTCGTCTCTTTTCTAATCTACAGAAATAAGAAGTACTTTTCTCACCTTCTTCTATCCATTTAGCCTTAGAACGTATATAGGCACCCTTAGCTTTTTTAATGTAGAGGTTGTCAAGTTCTAATTGTAAAGAGATTATTTTAGTTTTTTCTAACTCAGTTAATGTACTATCATTACAACATTTATTAATTTCGTAAATAATATTAAGTTCCTGTTGTTTCCTGACTTTGGCAAGTATTTTACTGTAATTAATAGAGAATTC